GGGTAATCGATCTTGGTCTCCCATGCATCCTACATGCGTACGCATCTGCAGCTTACACGTTTCCGCGATTTCTCGCTCATCCTACGGGTAAATGGAGTACAATCATCGATAGGTAAGCCTCTCCTCGGCTTACCGGGAGTTTTCCTGCTTCCCATTCCCGTGCCCCTAACCGCTACGTTCGCTGCTCGCAGTCTGCTTTCATTTACTGTCTTGCTTCCAGGCGTTGAACGCCAGGGTAAGATATCAATCTTCATACCGCGACAACCACTGCCCGCCTTGCCTAGATTACCCGTCCACCCTGTTGGTGTCCCCATTCACTAGACCATAAGCTAGCCTCGTTAAAGGTTTTCGGTCTATTATTCTGGTGGTTGATTTCTTTACGAAATTAGCCCCGAGTTAAAACCTTCCCAGACGCTATCTCGCACGTATTTGTCCTGGTCGTTTGCTTTGCGTTTGCGTTTGTCCTAGGACCGTGCCTTCAAAGGCACACTCCACACACGAGGGTTCTTCCAAGGCCTTCAACGCTGGCTTTCTGCGTGCGCATCCGCAAATTAAAAACACCCACCCATCCGCGTGCCGCCTGCGGGCGTATGGAACTAGACGCCTGGCAGTTAACTGGCCTTAAATTGGCTTGCTGGTATCTTCCTCACTTAGCTTTCTCCGGCACCTGTTCACTGCGAACACTGTCCGTTGTCTCCTCTCAGTTTCCTTTTACCCTTCATGCGTCCAGAGTTGTGATTGCAACCCCTTAGCCTTTGGACGAACCTCCGTATTTACCTTTCACGTCCTTAGTCGGGTCATCGGAGACCGGCTTCGGCTCCGCCCACTTGCTTATTCGGTTGTTTGCGCTCTTACAAACTGCGCAGAATTAAGTCTTAACAGTACATTGTTCTTGTACTAATATCAAATGTTTTCGAATTCACAATTACTGGTCGGCGTTTTCTCTTTCCTGTTCATCTTCTGTCGCGGCTGCGTGTGGCGAAGTCCTTGCCATTTTTCTGCCTAGTGGGTAGTTCAGTACATATACGGCCAAACGGTATTACCTTTTCCTGTTTCCTGTCGCAGCATTAACCCTCTTCGCTTTCCTCATCATCCTGGTATTTCCGCTTGCGTTTTCTCATATGGCTGCAAATACGTTCTTTCAGCTTGCGGTACACTTTTCCACTTCGCAGTTCCGTCCTTACTGTTGCCGGTCCTACAAAAAAACTTGATTTGCGCAAATTTCCTTACACTCACTTCTTATTGGGCTTGGCGGCTCCTTCCTTGTCCTTCAGTCACAGCCCGCGCTTGATTGGCTACTACTGGCCGCCAGGGAAACACTACTTTGGGGGTTAGGCTCTGCAACATAAAGCGTGCTCAACATTTGCAAGTTACTTACCTTGGTTATTGCTGTTTAGGTCCAATTCCGTTCCTACGACTAGTTCACGTTCCACGCTGTCAGCTACAAGTTGGTTATTTGGTACACCAATAGCTGCCAGATGTTGAGCGTCCTTCGGCATTAGCCATACGGCCTCTCGTTCTACAGATTATGTATCAGTTCTTCACTTATAGAAGACTTACGTGGACGGTCAGATGGGCCTGGGCTTCCGGGCTCTGCCTCCGCAGTGCTGTCTCCCTCGGCTTGCGGCCGCAGCAGACTGCAGGCCATGGAATTTAGTTCGTTATTAACCAAACGCCTCCGCGTGTGCTGGCTAGCTTCTACATGTT